GCGTGGTGTTTACCTTTTTATAAATGTAAGACCAACTATTCCAATGAACCACACTTTTGGAATGTCGAAAACTGTCTCGTGATCACGTGATATATCCGCTTTAAAACTTTTTGTGAGCCCCACAAACGCCACTCCTTTTGTTTTCTTCTTTAAGTCTGCGAACGTCTCATTGACGAAGTGAACGCTATAAGTGTTGTAGATGACGCTGTGCGTTATGTGTTGTAGACGCAGGCTTTTCGCTCAAGTTTCTGTTCACGTGAAACAAAGGCCTCCCCGTATATACCAACATCTGGGCCTGAAAGCCAGGAGTTTCTCTGCAACGGTGTTCCTGCGTGCCGATTAGCTACGCGTCTGTTACATATTCTCAGCGTGTGGGTTCCTATTGGTAGCGGAGTTTAGCACATTATGATTAAAAACAAAAATAAACCTGGCTTTTGTAATCTGCCTCAAGATTTAATTTTCGGAGTACTTTGATCTTGGGAACGGGATTTCTGCAGTCGCCACTGGGCGTTTCCTCGCAGTCATAAATGCGCACTTTTGTAGATTTAAATAACGAAAACGCACATGGGTATACCTCAGGCGAAAAGATTCATTGTTCAGAAAGTGTGAATGCGCCACCGTTTTGCCCATAATGCTTCATCGTGGTTATAGACGTAGGAGTTGACGAAACAATTGTGTAAAAACTGCAGTTCCGGGAGAGTAAGTACGGCACTTATGTTCTACTGCTGTAATAAAAGACTGCAGCTAACGTGGCCCGGATGCTATCCCGGATGCAATAGCGAACTATGTTGGCTAATGAAAGAACTTTTGTCCCACATGAAACACCTTAACCTCATTGTGAGTAAAACTGACAGCTACAGTGACACTATGCGGAGAACAAGTGCGGGAAATGCAACGCCATGTTACAATGAAGATTATCTCGAAAGCGTGGCAGCTAAACTTCATCGTTTTTAATTAATAATGACTAATTGTTTTCCCACAGAGACCGGCACAGCTTGTCTGCGGCGCCATATACGTCTTCACAAAAGCTATGAGTGTCGGTATTGGTGGCTCCGTCATGGCACCGCTTTGGTTGCAAAAGTTCGCAGCTGTATATTTGTCGACGAAACTAATAAACACGAAAGAGTCAAGGCTACTGCGGTAAATTGAAAAAGCGTTTGAGGGCCGAAACTACAGTGTGAGTTGCGGAGAACTGCCAACGTTACCTTGAATGATGCAAGAAGGATGAAAATAAGGCTTTTTTTTTTTACAGTTCTACTTTGAGCGAATAAACAATAAACGTGCACATGAAAACCTACACGAACAGCCAAGGCTGTGTCAGAGCCTAACGAACGAACCATTGTTCATGTGGTTGTGTGTCGACTTTGTCGTAGTGTATTTGTGCAGTTGTCAGTAAGGCGCGGCCACTATCGCTCAATCAGCACTTGTAGCACTGTGTGATTGTGGGAACGTAAAATATTGCGCAAGAAGGTTTCATTGTATGTGAAAATGTCGCGCGACTGTAGTGCTTTGTTCTGGGAGCTTCCTATTCTTCTTAGTTTCGTCCGTACGCGTTATGATAGCGCAGTTTCCGTGTCATCCTGCAATAAAAGCATGCTGACTATGAAGTCATTCCTATGGTTGTATCTTCGAAATTTTATTTCTCATCAAAGGGGTACAATACCTACAAGAAAACAAGGGAGAAAGGTAGAGAAAATACTGAGAGCTTAACCAAAGGAAATATTCGGCTAACTACCCTGTACTTGGGAAGGGAAAAATGGTGGAAAGTAATCAGTCGCAAGATGAATCGAAAACGTTTCGACCTTAATCAAGATAATTTTCAGTCCGCCCTTGAGTTCTTGAATTTCACTTTCACTCAGAACATTAGAGATGGATATGAATAAGAATTTTGCCTTCCTCGCGATATACCAATCTTTCCTTCTTTGGTGAGCTCTGAAATTCGAGAACCCCCAATCGACTGCACATATTCCCTCGTGCTGCTTTATATGTCACCAGCAGAGATCCTACTTGAAGCGAATTGAAAACAATGTAGAGGTGGGATCAATTCTGAAGCACCTTGCATTTTAGCTTCACATAGTAGAAACAGAATCTCTTTGTGACTGAGCTCCTTTAGGCAGGTTTATTACTCTATAGCATTGTAGCTCTCTCAACCTGTAGAAAAGCATTACCAAATATACAAGCTTTTGTCTAGAGTTTTGAGTTATTTACGTGGTTGCGGCAAGGATAATGTCGACGGGTTCAACTGCGGATAAAACAGAAACCTGGGCAATACTAAGATAGCCTTCTTTGATGTGTATTCTCAGAGTATACTTTCTTGTAGGCATGCCTAGATTACACCAACAAATGAACAGTGGTGCACATCTACCGAAGAACACGCTGCGCTTACAAAACGCCCTTCACCGTTGCCTGAATAACAAACTTGTCCTGTGCCCATGCTTAGTCGCTATACGTGCCTGAATACGATATTTTTATAAGCGATTGTCGTTCACTTCCAGTGAAGCTAGCTGAACACTTCAGCAGAGATACAGCACTGCAGCCTGCATCCTTAAGTAAAGGTAGCGTGCTCCGGTGGAGGGATGTTCCGGAAAATGAACTAGGGCATCTAGCTATCGTGAGTATTTCATGTTCTGGGTGGAACAGGATACACGTGAAAATATCAGCCTCAAAAATGTTAAAAGGTTGAATTAAGGCTCTAAGTGCCTGCCGAAACTCACGCAAAACCAAACCAGCCTAAGTTTTTATCTCATCAGCTTGTCCTTTCTGAAAAAAAAAAAAAAAGTAAAATCATGTTACGACAGCTTCACAGTAGAGGTGCCAAGCCTGAAGCAGCAGCGGAGCTGGGCAAACTTACTTGTTTCTTTAAATTTTTTGTCCTTTCTTTGTTTCCACCTTTGTTTACTTTTCTGTCTCTCTGTTTTTTGTATTTCTTTTTGTCTCTTTTTATATCTAGTTCTATTTATCTCTATCTTTCTTTGTACTTCTCGTCGCTTCTATTTTTTTGTCTCTCTTTCTCTTTTTATTTCTCGATTCTTCTTCATTTCTGTCGCTTTGCAATTTCTTATTCTCTCTCTTTTTTGTTCCCTCTGTTCTCTCTTTCTTTATTTTGGTTTTCTGTCCTTTCCATTTTTTTCTTCCTGTTTCACTCTTTTCTCTTCTTCTTTTTCTCTATTTGTATTCATTCTCTCTCCAATTCGAGCTATTGCATCCCACGCTGGACAAATCAGCACAGGGATAGAACGCTTGTGGGCGCACGTGCACGAGGAGTGAGGAAGTGAAAAAGAGGACGAAGCCTAACGAAAGTATACTTAGACACGAGAATGGATTGGTGGGCTGGTTGGTAATTCATTTTGAAGAGAGAGAGACAATTACTTTAACGGGGAGCTGCAGAGTTTTGCCTGGTTTTTCACCTGACAGGCTACTCCAGTTGCCGGGTGATGACAATGATATATACAATGATAAACACACAACGCATACAGTTACATACACGCATAACAGTCACATAACACATAAATTCCCTCACATCCACTGCACTATCCACAACGTTTCGTTCAAGCCTGTGGCCCGTAAGAATGTCAGTAGCGCTTTTGTAGAGTCTAACGCACTGGAGGTGTTCTGCCATGGGCCTAGATTATTTTTCAACTCCAAGTTTGTGTCCTGTTGTGCTTTTAAGGCCATCTTCAGAGACTGTCTCTCTGATGCGTCTTTCAGTACACTAACAGAGGGCATGATTGATATCTCCAACAACGTTACATTGGGCACAAAATGCTGAGTCGGACAGTCCAATTTCGTTCCTGAAGTAGTTCGTATATGCAACGTTTATTCGGATGCGGTGTAAACACGTTTCATCTTGCTTGTTGAGATTTCGCGGCACTCTGAATTCACGCGATGGATTGATCTTGTACAGAGGCTCATACTATTGGCTAGGGTCTGTCCAGAGGGATTGCTGAAAGCGCCAGGCGTGTGCTGACACTAACGTTGCTGCGTCTTGTCTCGAGAAAGGTATCTCGACCATTTCTGTTGAAGTGTCATGTCCAGCTCTGGCAGCGTCATCAGCCCGGACGTTGTCTTGTATTCCGCAGTGGTATCCACTGCAGAACGATGCGATGATGAAGGTCACAGGCTTTCTTGCATAGGCGTTTGATTTTCATGAGGAGTTGGTTTCGTGTGGATGGAGATCTCAGTGACTGCAGCGCTGCTCTTGAGTCAGTGAATATGACCCAGGACTCGGCTGTATGGTCCACGATGTAATTAATGGCAGCTCACAGTGCAGCCTGTTCAGTGGCTGTATATGAGGTGTAGTGACTGAGAGCAGCAGAGACGGTGACATTGGCAGCTGGAATCCAGACGCCAATGACGGATGATGTGGACGTAACAGATCCGTCAGTGTCAATTTGACGACGAGCTCTGTAGAAGTTTTCCAAACGCTCTACAGTAAAATGTCTGAGTGCTGGCACGGGTGTGCGTCTATTGCTCTTGAAGCCAGGCACAAAGGCGACTATGGTCTACGAAGGAGTTTTCTACGATGGTTCTGCATGCATTGATGCTCTCTGATAGTGTGGCGGGAGGAAGTTCTGCACAGGAGTACTGTCTGAAGCAAGCGGATGATCCGGCGCTCTGGTGGCATTACGCAAGTGAACTCCAAGAAACTCCTGCTGCAGGAGAACAGGAGCTGAAAGGCGCCTACTTTCAGCAAGGGTTCCGAGGATTGATGTGTCCTTTGGTAGTCCAAGGCACACCCTCGGGGCTTCAGCCTAGACTCCAGTCAATGTCTGTATGTTTGTTCGAGAAATTTCATGTATCGCTGGAAGGCTGTAACATAGAAGACCTTCGCAGAGAGCGGTGTATACATTCGTAACAAAGCATTAACAGAACAGCCACCGGCATTGCCTGATAGCAAGCGAAAGATGCTCGCATATGAGAGAGATATTGAATAAGGTAGGACTGAGGACACCACCCCGGGAAACTCCTTGATGCACTGTGTGTGGAGTTGTGTCACCTACTTGTGTGGACATGTAGACTGTCCTGTCTCTGAGGTAGTTCAAGATCCAGCGGTACATACGACCTCCTACACCTAATGACCTCAGAGCATGTAGGATAGACTCATGAACCTCTTTATCGAACACTCCCTTGACGTCGAGGAATACACTGATAGTGATGTTGCCAGTTGCTTTGTTCAACTTTACGCAGTTGATGAGATTGGTTACGTTGTCAATGCTGCTGCGACCTTTTCTAAATCCAGACATTTGTTGGGGGCATGCATTCTTGTTCATAAGCAACCACACCAGGCGTATTGACACCATATTCTCCATGAGCTTTCTTACGCAGCTGAGAAGAGCAATGGGGCGATAAGAGTCGATTTCCGCGGGAGGCTTGCCTGGCTTTAGCATAGGAATAACACGGGCTCGTTTCCATGAAGGTTCGAGACGGCCACTCTCCCAGCTGGCATTGAATATGGCAAGTAGACGCAACTTTGCCTTGTCGCCTAAATGGGTTAACTCAGCTTGGCTGACGCAATCAGGTACAGAAGATGACGCCTTGTTCATCAGTTCCAATGCACCAAGAAGTGCTTTGGCACTGATGAACAAGGCATTTCGAAGGGCTACAGTACATATATAAGCGATGACAAAAACATTGACGGCAGATCCACGAGGTGAATGATGATCAGATTGGGCGAAGCTCCTAGAAGTAATACCGTGAAATTTTCTTCCGTTGATTCGCCTGGCGATATGCGCGCTTCCTCGCCAGTTCCCATTGTCGAACGTTTTCAAGATCTGCTTCGCGACGTTGACGTGCTGCCTCGGCCTCTCGTTTCCGTACGGAAGGATCTTGCCGACGCTGACGTGCCGCTGCAGCTTCTTGTTCACATACGGCGGGATCTTGCTGACGCTGCCTTGCTGATGTGGCTTCTTCTTTCCGTACAGCAGGATCTTGGCGGCAACGTCGTGCAGCTTCCCGGCGTGCTTCTGCTTGGCGTGAACTCACTTCAGGGTCCTGTCTGCGAGCGTGCGCCGCCGCTGCCCTGCGCGCCCGCCTTTCGGCATCCTTATTTATACGAGCACACACCAACGGCAACGAGCATCGGCGACTACAAATCTGTATTGATATGGTTTTGATTATAAAACCCTTGCTTTAGAAAACACATGGCATCTGTTGTTAGGCAGCTGGTGTCTTCTTTTTGTTTTGCTTTAGAAACATCTGGCGTCTTTTCGTTTTGCTTTTAGAAAACATCTGGTGTCTTTCGTTGGTTTATTTCATCAATCAACGGCGTTCTGAAGAAATTTTTTTATTGTTTAATAACTCACAGGAGAAATCTCACCAGGCACTACCTTGGAGGTAAAAAATGGCTGCTACTGATAATGAGAGACAGCAGAAGTCGGCTTTGAACACTTCTACTAACGTGTCCTACTGGAACATGCCAATGACTGCTAATGGGGAATGAGAGACAGAAGAATTCGGCTTTTAGTTAACGCGCACGCTGCGAATTTCTTTATTGTTCAACAACGCACATGGGAAATCTCCCAGCGGCACCACCTTGGAGGTCAAAGCGTAACACTGGTTCCACACTACGACTACGACTACGAGGGACAAACGGGTGCCGCTATAAGGAGCTTCGCCCCTAAAAAGAAACACAAAACCAACCAAACAAAAAACACACACCCAATTTCAGACAGCCTAAAGGCTGCCTAAAAACAAGTTTATATATTCTATAGACTCTTTAAATCTTTTTATTTTTGTATTGTCAAGGGAGTGTGCGCCGGCCAAATTATTGCGTAGCGCGCCGGCACAGCGGTGCCAGGTGCTATGTGACGCGAGATGCCACATAGGGTAAAGGCCATGCAACGATGATGACAGTTTTTGTTGACACACCTCGTAGTGAACTTCGACCATAAAAAGCACCGCTGTTAAGGGCAGGACGTTGTTGGGTGAACATTATCCGCAAGAACGTTTGTGATTGCTGCCGCGAAGGAATAATGAACCTTTAACAAAACAAAAGTCATTACTTCTCTTTTAGCAATGTACCAAAATATTTTTCTGATAGCGAAAGCTCGCACTGTGTTTAGTGCCCGACCTTGCTGGTCCACCCTAGTTTTTTTCTTGAATCAGTCTTTCAACGCAGTTGGCGCTGTTATGTACCCCATCGCTGTATTCACTGCCGCCTTGACGGGGGCAAGTAGACACTGAAAGGTCCGTGTCTGTGTGTTCTAACGGGGCCCTACAAATGAAAGCTGCTCCCAACGGTACCGCCTACAAGCGTGTTTAACAATTCTAGTCCACCGTCCTCGGTCCCAGTGGGTCAGGAAAGTACGCACTGAATTCCAGCTCTCGCAGCCGGCAACTCTCCTCGTGATGAGCGTCTTAACCGCTTGGTTTGTTGTTAACTCTCCCAAGTCTGTCGGTACGTGCGCCTGATCGTGTCTCGAACTTTTTTTTTTCTTTCCTGCCCAGACCAACAGTGCGGGGCCCTCTTAGTAGCCTCCGGCGCATGTCGCTTTCTTGGCAATATTTCATTTTTCCGCCTCTGCTTTTCTCGTCCCTCTACTCTCTTCACCCTGTGCGCCTTGTTTGTCTTGTATTAAGGTGCTTACTTCTAATCTCACTGCCACAACTTTTTTCAGACTTTCTCTTCTTGAACAGCTTTATGAACAATTCCGCCTTTTTGTGCGCCACGCATTTGCTCTTTATTGAATGTGTAGTGTGGAAACAAAAAACGAACAAATTAATAACGCTAGAATTTTTTCCTGGACTTGGCAACAACGAACACGTCTCGAGCAAAAATGGGAAATAAAGCAACAAGGCATTGTTTTTACTCCTACGTTTTCACATTGCCCACTAGTGATTTCACATTGATTTGGTAGCCTCAGATCAAACTTAACTTTTATAGCTTGCTTTTGAACGTTTATGCTGCAGACGGTGTATTTTATCGTCGCCTGTGCTATTGATCATCTTTTACAGTGGTTGCCTTTTGACATTGTTTATCATCACTGTCATTATAATAGTGAGCTTAAACTATTTGTTCTTCTTTGTGTTTCTCCAAATGTTTGTATATTTTTGTCACTTTAGTTCACCCTTTGGTGTTCTAGCTTACGTTGTAGATCACTGTTGACTTGCAACGACAAATATACGTGAGTAAGCTGGCGGTAATTCAACTTCCTGTCAAGCTTAGGTTAGGTTGTTAATGGACATAAACACATGCACACATACACACACACACACACAAAGCTAAGAAACACTACATCAACACCCCAGGTGCTCGCGCGGCAATCTATAACTTTTAAAATAAAGCAATAAAGCCATTTCACACTTTTGTTGCTTCTGTTTCGATCATATCTGAAGTGGTAGGCTCGTTTTCATAATATTCTCTGTCTAACAATGTGTGTACGTCATTGCAGTTGGCCTTGTCTTTTATAACAAACGTGGCTTTTATTTCCCCCGAAACAAGTCACAGCCGTAAAGTGAGCTGTTACCAAAAACTTGCCGCACGTTTGTTGTAATGTAGACAGGTGCGAAAGGCACCTGTTTCTGTCAACACGCAGTTCACTCTGTATCGACGCAACACTTGCAGAGAGTGGTAACGATCCTCGGTAGGTTGTACTAACGACAATATTAAAACAATAGCCAATGAACACGTTTTCGCTAGTGAGAAATATTGAGCCTATTGTGAATAATATGTGGTGACAACCGTTAAGAGCTCTCACCAGCCAATTTCTTGGTCAAGTTTATCGGTTTTCTGTGTTGAGTGAAAATTATGTTTCTATCACATGTACTGTCGCTTCTTGTCATCAGAGAGAAAATTGTATGGTGAAAATTTTCAGAACAATTGTCGTCCTAGAGATCATAATAATGATAAAGCAATCACATGCTTTTGATCAAAAAACGACTCAAACTTTGAACCACCTTGCTCGAATAAACGATGAATTGTTTCAAAAATAATAAAAGCTTCCATGGCGCAAACGTTTATGAACCAGGTATTCATTACTATTTTTTCTTGTACTGCCGCATTTGTATATGCGTTAACTTGGCAGACGACGCATCGCATGCCTGGAGAGGAAGTAGCAAGTGCAGCTGCTGCAGATGGTGGAGAACTGCTTTTGTCGATGTACTCATTTCGGTGGTGCACAGGTTAAACATGAAAGTGCAGAGACAACTCGTAAAGGCATCCGTCTTTTTATAAATTACGATAGTCTTTCTTGGGAAACTTCGACGCAAAAATTTTGATTTGTCTGTTCATTTGTCTGTTTGTTCACCCTTAGCGTTGCTGGGTACTCTAAACGGCACCAGGCGATACCCCTAACGGCCGAACCCATCCGCAGCGCCCTCCAATGTTTCTCGAGATTCAGCGTTCATACTTGTGCGATTGTCGATTAAGAAGCAATTATTGCGCATATCTGGGGCACCATAAAAACACGTATATATTCTGTATGTGGGTATTTTACTACAAAAGGCATACATAAGTAATTTTAAGGAGAGTATAGCGCCTATCACGCTGCGCTGGCCATGCAATGCTTGCACGAAATGATAAGTGTTTCCAACGCATTGCTAAGACGACACGGGGGTGGCACGAACCCGTCGCCTTGCGTTCTACTCCTTATCACGCTCGTCTCAGAGCCACATGCTTCGTTTTCCAAGATAACTGCCAGATAATGCTCATGTCTCACGTGTGACATGACGTGACTTGATGTGCTCGTTCGCCTCCGCTGCATGCTTGAGGCACTCTAACTCAGTGCCTCCAGAATACTATTCACCAATTTCTTCCGCAGAACATCAAATAATTGCTTTGTTCACTCTCGCCAGACGCACGACTATCGTCTTCCGACGACATTTGTAGATTACCATGTAGATACGGGGCTAATTTTTTTTTCTAGTTCTTGACCAGAAGGTAAGTTGGAACCCACTAATGTGAAGGGATGGCTGGTTTCTGCTTTCTTGTTTGGGCTGGTAACTGTTTATATGACGAAGTGATGCAATACGTGCACATGCTTTATTGCAAGGTAAGAGTCATTGATCTATAGTAATCATATGTACATTTATCTGGCACCTTTACCACTGACTAACACGTCTCCGATACCAATATTCGCTGTTCCTCGCTCTTTATAACATTGGTTACGAATTGATTGATTGATTGATACGGGGGTTTAACGTCCCAAAACCACTATATGATTATGAGAGACACCGTAGTGAAGGGCTCCGTAAATTTCGACCACCTGGAGTTCTTTAACGTGCACCCAAATCTCAGCACACGGGCCTACAACATTTCCGCCTCCATCGGAAATGCAGCCGCCGCCGCCTGAATTCAATCACG